GTGCGCTTTAAACGCCGTCTTTGCAAAGATTAGCAGAATTCTAACCAGGGAAGTCCGCCAACTTACCATGAAACTGAATGGAGACCTGGGTAGATCGATAGACGTATAAGGTTATTTACAAATATAGATACCTGCATTTCACAAGCAACTTATGAGCAGGTAAAGTTTGTAATGGTGCAGTAGGGTGGAGGCTGGAGGCTTGGTGGTGAGCTGTGAAGCATAAGCGAGGAATCGCATACGTCGAATCGAGTCGTCGAACGTCGAACCTTACCACTGAACCACCACGACTCGATTCGACGTATGCGATTCCTCGCTTATGCTTCACAGCTCACCACCAAGCCTCCACCCTACTGCACCATTACAAACTTTACCTGCTCATAAGTTGCTTGTGAAATGCAGGTTGCAGTTTTGCTATCTATATTTGTAAATAACCTTATAGACTCTATCGATCTACCCAGGTCTCCATTCAAAGTTCCACGGTAGTTTGGCGGACTTCGCTAGAAAGCGTAAAGACGAAAACTGAGCTCACCTCCAACTGTGCCGTCGAAAGTCTTGTTCCATCCGGCCCACCTTACTCGATCTCCTTCCTCCAGTATTCGAACAATCAATGGAGCATAACCGCTATAGGCATATGCTGCATCTGACGTGCTCTATAATATAATATCTAACCGATGAGTCAAAACGAGATCGCGCCATTGGAGCAAGTGTAGTATTAAATTACTAACCGTTTCCGACACGTTGTCGGGTAGCAAGTCATATTGCTTTTTGACGGATGTGAACATCAGTGGAGGATAATCGGTGGACAGCTTCCCACTGCCACCCCGTTCTCGGATTATTCCCATTTTTTGCAGTTTCAGTAACTTGTTCAGTGCTTCGACACCGAATGACTGAAAATTTTAAGTTGAAGTGAGGACCTCGTTCTCTTTCACCTTATCTTCTTAGGACATATGGCACGCTAATTTGGTGCTCGGTCTAAAATGCTAGCAGGGTGCTGTACACTGGGGAAACTGACGAAAAAACGAAGTGGAAAAAAACCTGCCAAGAATAGCCTTCGTTCTTAATGACTTGAAAAGTGATTTCGGACGAGTTTCCCGACGAGCCGTATCTACCCTAACCGTTATCTCTCCAATAGCCGCTACGGTAGACACGGCTGCACGAATGGACACGTATATCCATGCAGCACTGCAGCCGCATCATATTAATCCTTCGCTTCATATTTTACTTCGCGAATGAAGCGCTGCAGCATCAGGTACGGTCTTCTATTTGTGAGCAATA